GGAGGAAGACTCATTAACAACCTGTGATATGCTGCTGACACAACCTTGCTTGCTAAAAGAGGACTTGAAGCACTTACTGATTGTCATGGATTGAATCGTGTCCCCCAAAAATATGTGTATCAACTTGGCTAGGCCGTGATTCCCAGTATTAAGTGATTGTCCACCATTTTGTCATCTGATATAATTTTCCTATGTGCTGTAAATCCTACCTCTATGATGTTAATGAGGTGGGATAGGCAGCAGTTATGTTGATAAGGCAGGATTCAATCTACAAGATTGGATTGTGTCTTGAGCCAATCTCTTTAGAAATATAAAACAGAGAAGCGAGCAGAGAGACAGGGGAAACTCATACCACCAAGAAAGCAGCACCGGGAGCAGAACGTGTCCTTTGGACCCAGGGTTCCTGCGCGGAGGAGCTCCTAGTCCAGGAGAAGATTGATGACAAGGACCTTCCTCCAGAGCCAACAGAGAGAAAAAGCCTTCCCCTGGAGCTAGCGCCCTGAATTTGGACTTCTAGCCTATTAGACTGTGAGAGAATAAATTTCTCTGTTAAAGCCATCCACTTGCGGTATTTCTATTACAGCAGCACTAGATAACTAAGACACTGATGAAGATCAAAGACTCAGCCTTCAGTATGAATGACATCTTAATATAAAGGAAACAAAAATCCTTAAAACTGGACCAATAAACAACATCATGATAAACAAAGAAAATATTGAAGTTGCCAAGGATTTCATTTTACTTGGATCCACAATCAACACCCATGGAAGCAGCAATCAAGAAATCAAGTGATGTATATGGCCTTGGGCAATTTTGCTGCAGAAGACCCCTCTAAAAGATATCACTTTGAGGACTAAGGTGTGGCTGATTCAAGTCACACGGCAACATTAATTAAGTAATGAGAGAATGCACTAATAGGAATAATTCACGATAGTATTAGAGCAACAGTCAGCGTTATTCAAAGTGTGCTGTTCAAAGTATGGTCCACAATCTAGCAGCAACAACATCACCTCGGTCCTTCTTACAACTACAAAACCTCAGACTCCACCTCAAACCTAGAGTTTAAGAGATCTATAGTTTAACAAAGGGGGCCTCTTGGCACACAATGGTTAAGCGCTCTTCTGCTAACCGAAAGGTCAGTGGTTTGAACCCACCAACTGCTCTGCAGGATAAAAGACCTGGTGATCTGATCTTGTCGAGTTCAGCCTAGGAAACTCTATGGGGCAATTCTACTCTGTCGTACAGGTCGCTATACGCTGGAATCGACTAGACGGCACCTAACAACAACATAGTTTAACAAGATCCACCACATGATTTGTATATACATTAAAATTCAAGAAAGAGCTCTACCCTGCCAGGGAAGACAACAGAGAGTCCCTGATGGAGCAGGAGAAAGGTGGGGTGCAGAACTCAAATTCTAGTAAAAAGACCAGACTTAATGGTCTGACTGAGACTGGAGG